TAGCGGTAACAGCCTTGATTTCCTTCAGCCTTTCTTCACACCCCCTGAAAGCGAGTGAGGACAGATAGTGCGGTAGTACCAGCACAAAAACTAATGAGACTTAAGACTAACATTTTCGGGGTTCTGGTCTGCATCTGAGAAAGCGGCTTGTGGACATATGGTGAATATTGATGGGCAAACTATCATCAGAGTCCGGTGACTCCTTTGTTAATGACTATGTGCATCCAGTGTTCAGGTTTGTGCATTGCCTTGCCTTCGCTATTTATTCAACAGTATCGGTATGATCGGGAATTGACGTAAGCGTTACGGCTGGATACTGAGTCAAAGGATATTCCAAAATTCGGTAACATTTATTGGTTAAAAGTGTACTGCAAAAAGTGCATGCGTTCAGTGCCAGATGTAGGCTAATTTGGGTTTTTCATACTGACCTCTGGAATGGGACGACAGCTCGCTATGTCAGCCACCACCTTCTTCATATCGAGGGCTTGCGGATAGAGTAGGTAAACCGCAGGGGGAATCGGGCGTCTCCAGTGGCGATCCGGAAGGTCAGCCAAGTCCGCAAATGTATAAATTCGCTGTTGATAATGACGTCGTCGGAAGTGTCGACCGACCCACCTATTGTCACTATTGATGTTACTGCCGCTGCCATGGCTGTCATTCGCAATCTCCACTGCAATTGACACCTTAAAGGTGTTTGTCTCGTGCGAGGCTCTTAGACGTAGCCAGTTGGTTTTGCAGGGGCTTATGTACGTGATTATAGGGGTATCCGAGGGGCTGTAGACCCACTGACCAGCAAAAGTCACTAAACTGAGAAAACCCACTGCCAAGAGGAGACGAACCGTCAATTTAAATCCAAGGTGCGCGCGTCGGAGCATGGCGGTTGAGGTTCGGTTTGGTAAGCACAGGTGAACAGTGTTGTTGGAGCTTTTATAATTAGCTTGTCGGTTCGAGGCTCTGATTCGTTGGGATAACATCGCGCTTTTTTAAATCAGGCACATACCGCATCAAAGAAGATGACACGTTAGGTGACGCGCGTGTATCTCCATGCCACAAGGCAGTTTAGCTAGCTGTTAATACAATTGTCGCTATCCTGCTCCTTTCCCGCGTGACGTAGCAGCCTGTTTAGACAACGTTTCAGGAAAGAATATGGCAGCGGAGTTGGGAGAGAATCGGAAACGTTGTTCCAGGTAGTAGCAGTTGACAACAGAAGGTCCCCCACCCCGAATCACAACTCAAGCAAGACCATGCTGGTGGCCACAGATTTACTGCCGGTACATAGACGGTACAGAGACTCTGTTGTTGGGCAACTGTGCACGCCAACTGGTTCCACGAGGTTGTGTGAGTGAATGATGCAGCTTTGGCTGCGCGACGGTTGCTCTGTCTGCTGCATCCAATCAGGTAAGGCAGAAGTATCGATTACTCTGAAGAATGCGCGCGTGTGAAGCGGTGAGTAGGCCGATAACGTGGGAAAGGTCGATAACGCGTGTAGTAGAGGATTAGGCATGGATGTTGGCCCTGGCAGAGCGAAAGCAGAATCAGTCAGCGCAGTAGGCTTCCACGGAGTCAGCCCAGTAAAAGTGTCGCTGCAGCAATCGCACCTGCCGTCTCTGAACTATTTACTTGAAGTCGTATTTTCGCTTCTATCTGTAAATAAAAGACTGTCGTTTGGCTCGCTGGGCTGGCTAGCAGTCACTACTACTCCTTGGGACAGTAACTTGGACTTCTGTAAATGACAAAATCCTCTGACTGTTGCCTCCGGTTTTGTAATGCCGTGTAATGCTGTGGCTACTTAGGCGATTAAGCCATTCGCACATTTGCTCTTCGGGCTACTGTACGTATTTAGTTTGCACGGCTGTTGGATGAGACTAGGCGGTTAAAGTTTATGACAAGGACCAAACGTTAGGGTTCTTTGGGTACAGCCGTGCTAAATTAGGGTTAAAATTTTTTCATGTGGTTTAAAAACGGTTATGAAACCCTCACAGTTCTCTACCAAATATTTTGCAACGATAGGGACTGCATCTACGTTGGGAAAACGGGAAGAAATTTGCAAACACGCTTAAATGAGCACAGACAAGTGAATCGGAGACTAGACTCGAACTCACAGTTTGCAAGCCATATTGCAGAGAGGGACAACAAATTTGATCTTGAAGGAGCCAGCATCTTGGGCCAAGGTAATTTCCAGCGGAATGAATTAAACCTGAGATATGGTCTTCAGAAGCCGACTATATACAGACAGCGTGGCATCAACCGGCTGCTAATCTGGTCGAAGTTCAAACATCTCCGTTCCCTTATCTACCTTAAAAAAGTGGTCTAGGTCGAGTAGTGGTCACGTTCCCGTGAGGCTTGGCCACAGCTTTACCCGTCTATTCGCAAACCATTTCTTCATATCTTTTCCCCCGGGTTTTGTATTCCTGATTCACTTGCACACCGTCTGGATCTTTTTGGGCCAGGGTCGCCTGCAGCAATGTGTGTTTACCGATTGTGAACCAATCGTACTTTCTTTGGCATCCGAGTCCCAGACACAACCTCTATTCAGTCCGTGATAATATAAGACAGCTTAATCGTGATTTTGCCGTTCAAAAAGTGAAGGTGATCGGCAGAGTCACAGAGTAGTTGGCTAAACTAGTGCTAGAAAGTTCACCCTCGACTGGCACGTTCAACCTATCAATAAACTTGTACACCGCCTATCAGGCGCTTCGTGCAACGCTCGAATGAACTCGGAAAGAGTCCGTAGAGCAAACGAGAGAGCCGACGCTCACAGATAGGCCGGAAAAAAGAGCACCCTTGTGCACCTTTAGGAGGTCACAGAAAGCGTCCAGGGTAGTTTGGCGGGCAGTTTCGTCGGCGTTCGCCATGCGTCGGTTTATCGAAATTATTGCACTCAAGCTCTCCAAAGCCTATAGAGTCAGTCTTATGTTTGTAGGTCTCAGTAGGCTTTGGATACCATGAGTGCGTTGTATTCGACCTAAGGAAATTTTCCTCGCGGTTAATGAGGCATAAGGAGGAAGAATAAGTGATGTCGGATAAGTTTCTTTGTTTCCTCCGTCGTGTTCGTCTGCATTCGCTGTAGGAAGTTTCTTGAATGAAATGTTGTGCTGTAAATCATTACTTGCACCTTTCTCAGTTACTTTGATGACAGGTTGTGATGCAGTACGTTATTGCGGGATGACGTTGGATTAGGCAGCCCGGGGAATTGGTTCCCCATGCCATGCATAATTGCAGTACCCCTTCTATTCGTTTTTGCGTGGCATGTATGCGAGTAGGCTGATGCATCTCGAATTTGCACGTGCAAATGCGAACAGAACACCATCGAGGAGCAGAGCCTTTCACACTGCCATAACATGGGCAAACATGTATTATTTGCCATTTTACAGGCGCTACTAAGATGTATCCG